ACAAAGGAGAGAAGAAAAAAACCCAACACATTGGCAGCAGATTTCTCATCTGCAGCACTGAAAGCCAGAGGACTAAGGCTGGCCTGGGCCCAGGATTCTTAACCAGAGAGGTCATACTGTTCCCCGGCCAGATTAAGAAATACACTTTGGGCTGACTGAGGTGGCTCACGCCTGTAATCCCAGCATTGTGAGGAGCAGAGGCGGGCAGATCACTTGAGCTCAGGAGTTTGAGACCAACCTAGCTAACATGGCAAAAACCCAGCCTCTACTAAAGCTAGAATTTAAAAAAAAAAAAAAAAAAAAAATTAGCCAGGTTGGCCGGGCGCAGTGGCTCATGCCTGTAATCCCAGCACTTTGGGAGGCCGAGGCGGGTGGATCACAAGGTCAAGAGATCGAGACCATCCTGGTCAACATGGTGAAACCCCGTCTCTACTAAAAATACAAAAAGTTAGCTGGGCATGGTGGCGCGTGCCTGTAATCCCAGTTACTCAGGAGGCTGAGGCAGGAGAATTGCCTGAACCCAGGAGGCAGAAGTTTCAGTGAACTGAGATCACACCATTGCATTCCAGCCTGGGCAACAGAGTAAGACTCTGTCTCAAAAGAAAAGAGAAAGGCTGTAATGAAATGGCAGTTGATCAGAGACCCCAAGAGGGAAGGAGAGGGAATCGTCGTGAATTGAGTCTCACAGTTTCTAGGAAAATGTCAGTGGAGGCCGGGCGCAGTGGCTCACACCTGTAATCCCAGCACTTTGGGAGGCCAAGGCGGGCGGATCACGAGGTGAAGAGATTGAGACCATGCTGGCCAACATGGTGAAACCCCGTCTCTACTAAAAATACAAAAAAAATTAGCTGGGCATGGTGGCGTGTGCCTGTAATCCCAGCTACTTGGGAGGCTGAGGCAGGAGAATTGCTTGAACCCGGGAGGCGGAGGTTGCAGTCAGCCAAGGTCGCACCACTGCACTCCAGCCTTGGCGCCTGGTGATGGAGTGAGACTCTGTCTCAAAAAAAAAAAAAAAAAAAAGAAAGAAATGTCAGTGGAAGGTGGCAGTGGAAGAAGAGCCTTCTTGGGGAAACTCTTACTGGGGTGGGTGGGGCAGAAGGAGGCAGAGAGAGTCATGAGAGAGGTGGTGCTTACCCTGTTTCTCTTTTTTTTTTTTTCTTTTGAGACGGGGTCTCGCTCTGTTGCCAGACTGGAGTGCAATGGCACGATCTCAGCTCACTGCAGCCTCCACCTCACGGGTTCAAGTGATTCTCTTGCCTCAGCCTCCCGAGTAGCTGGGACTACAGGTGGGCGCTACCATGCCCGGCTAATTTTTGTATTTTTAGTAGAGATGGGGTTTCACCATGTTGGCCAGGCTTGTCTTGAACTCCTGACCTCAAGTGATCTGCCTGCCTCAGCCTCCCAAAGTCCTGGGATTACAGGCATGACCCACCATGCCTGGGCAGGTCTAAAGTATTAAAGGATGAAGAGGACATTGTGTAAAGATAAAAAGTTCAATTTGTGGAGATGCATAGTAAATTCCACAGGCATTAAGTGGAAGAGTGAAAATGGGTTGAAAGCTTGTTACTCAACAGATGTGAGCTGTTTTAATTATACGTAAACACTACTGGCAGTAAAAGCAGAGCTTTAACAGATGTCCACATGAAAGTCCAGGGAGAGGAGCATGGGAGTGGGAGTCAGTTACCTGACCTCACTGAGCCTGTCTCTCCTGCGAAATGGTAATGAGGCTGCCTTACTCACAGTGGTGGGAAGACTCAGAGGTGGTTACCTCCTACACAGCATATGGGACTCTGAGAAGTGTTTGTGAGCTGTTTTGGAGGGGTGAGCCTTTATTCTTCTTCCTTTTTTTTTTCTTTTCTTTTCTTTTGACTGAGTTTTTGCTCTTGTTGTCCAGTCTGGAATGCAGTGGTGCAATCTCGGCTCACTGCAGCCTCCTGAGTAGCTGGGATTACAGGCATGCACCACCATGCCCAGCTAATTTTGTATTTTTGTGTAGTAGACACAGGGTTTCTCCATGTTGGTCAGGCTGGTCTCGAACTCCCAACCTCAGGCGATCTGCCTACCTCAGCCTCCCAAAGTGCTGGGATTACAGGCATGAGCCACTGCGCCCAGCACCTTTGTCCTTCAAGAGGGGCTGGATTTTTGGCGGGACCTGAAATAATAACCAAGCATGACTGCAAAGTCACAAGCTCTCTCCCTGGGCTCGAGGTGGCTCCCACTCAGGGAAGGGAATGGAGGTGTCAGCCAGTGCATCAGGAGCTGGGGTCGTCACTGTTCAGTCTCTGGCCACCCTGGGGGAGGGAGGTAAACCCTTACAGGTAAGAAGAGTGAGGCCCAGAGACACTGAGTCATTTGTGAGCTTGCCAGGCTGAGGGGCGGCAGATAGAAAATTCAAATCTGGGAGGGTCTGACCCCAAAGTCCACCATCCCTGGAGCCCCCTGACCATGCCAGGTGTTTGGATTAAGGGGACATCCCAGAAATAGTGCATGCAGCATCCCAAAGGACAACTTCTGCTGTCGGCTACCCAGACCAGTCAGCTGTGGAAAGCAGCAGCCCGCAGATGGGACACCAGTGCTGAGTGGGACAGGTGCTGGCTTGGCCTTGGGATGTCACGTGCATACCCCCCACTGGACATGAGGGTTGTAGGGCTCATGGGATGTGCCTGTTGCCCAGCGGGTGCTTGGTCATGTCCCTTTCCCCTTCAGCAGCTCCTGCCAGTCCTTGCCAGAACCCCGTCCTGCCCAGCGCCCTGCAGTGTGTTTGAGGCATGTGGGTCATAAGTCCCCCTCTCCTCCTCCAGGTGTGGCAGGCGTGCTTGTGGGACACCCATTTGACACGGTCAAGGTGAGTCTCATCACTTCTTTTCTCGGTGCATACATTGGAGAGAGGCTCACGGGGTGGGGGTGGCCAGAAGCCCGTTTCAGTCTACAGCCCCAGGTGGGCAGCTACTTTTCCACCAGGCTGGGTTGAACCTTCCTCTCTGGTCTGTCCTGGCATTTCCTGGCTGGGGCTGAACCACATGCTGGGTTCATGGCCAAGTCCATCCTGGGCTTGGCCAGCTGGGACTGAGGTGCCGAGGTTTCCTCCCACCCAGAGCAAGGGCACCCATATTGTTCCCATGCAGAACCCCCCAAGCAGTGCCTTGAAAGAAAGAGAAGTTCAGAGAGAAAATACAAAAAAGCCAGAACTCGTTGATATCGCCCATGAACATGGCCTTCACGGAGTGGTGATCATCCTTACGGAGCAACGGATGGTTTCCCATGTGCCAGAGGCTGAGGAAGGGCCCTGTTCCGGTTCCTTGATAACACCCCACACCTCCATGAACCAGGGTTCCAGGCTCTCAGATCCCACACGAGGGAAACCAGGGAAATCCATGTCCTCCAGCTGGAAATTCCCAAATAAATCCCCCAGCCCTCCAATCGTGTTTGGGCTGTGTGATCTGGAAATAGCCCAGCGGGACCCTTCCCCGCCCTTTCCCTGGGCCCCAGGGTGAGCTGAGTGGTGGGCACCAGGCCAGCCCCGCACCTGCTGGTACTACACGTGGCCCCTCTTTCCACTGAGGGAAGGCAGAGCTGACAGCAAGGCAGGCTGCGCATCCTGAGCTGGGTTTGCAGGAGACGTCAGGTCTCTTTCTCCTCCAGTGAGCCCAGGTGTTTATTGGCAGAGACGGTGACTTCTTACCATAGGGCTGGATTGCACCCAGTGCAAGAGTGACAGTGTGGCCTTATGTGTTGGCTGTGACCTTAAAAAGTTCTGTCCCTGGTCCTCATGCAGGTCCAGGCCCCTCTGCCAGCTGGTTTTCTGCATGACCTTGGGCTGGCCACTGTATCTTTTGGCTCAAACGTTGTCATAGTGCCGGTGCTCAGCAGCATAATTTATGTTGGATTAAACACCAGCGCTGAAAAGCACAACTCTTCCATCCGCCGTGGGCCAATCTGGGGGGGAAGCTGAAGGGCCAGGCTTTCTCAGCAGGCAGCGACTCCACATTTGCTACACGGGCCTCCTGCGAGGGAGGACGTGCAGAGCCTGCCCACACAGTCCCCGGCCCCAGCCGTGCCCACGCGCTGCCTAGTCAGGCCACTTGTGAAGCCTCCCCCAGGCCAGAGCAGCCCAGGATAGCCGGGCAGCGTCCACGTTGCACTGTTTATATCTTGGTCATGCGTTGTGAATGCCTCTCCCAGCCAAGAAGTGCTTCACATTCACTTCCTCTTTCCAGCTCCAAGGAGGCCTGGGCTCTCTGAGCTATGAATCAGCCAGGCTTGCTTTGGGCTCCCGCCCGGCCCCCTCAGGCAGCCCCTGGCAGACCAGGGAGCACTTTTGTCCTGGTGCTCCTCTGTCCTGAGCCGCTGAGCCCATGAGCAGCACCCTTGAACTTACTCAGGGGCAGGGGTTTCTCCGGCCCATGAGGTTTTTACCCCCCAGATCCTACTTCCCTGGCTTCCCTGACATCTTTAGAAGATCTGTTTGTGACCCTTTTTTTTTTTTTTTTTTTTTTTCCGCCACTGTGTTGTTCTAGCATCACATTTGGACGTACCTACCTTAAAAAGCTGAACTTTGGGAACAGCCGTGGCTCAGGCCAGTTGTCCTGGCACTTGAGGAGGTGAGGCTACGCGTTCGAGGCCAGCCTGGGCAACATAAGAACCAATCATTTGTTAAAAAAAAAAAAAAAAAAAAGGAGAATTTTTTTTTTTTTTTTTTTGAGAAGGAGCCTTGCTGTATCGCCCAGGCTGGCGTGCAGTGGCGTGATCTCGGCCCACTGCAAGCTCCGCCTCCCAGGTTCAAGCAGTTCTTCTGCCTCAGCCTCCTGAGTAGTGGGACTACAGATGTTGGCTGCCACACCCGGCTAATTTTTGTATTTTTAGTAGAGATGGGACTTCACTGTGTTGGCCAGGATGGTCTTGATGTCCTGATCTCGTGATCCACCCACCTCTGCCTTCCAAAGTGCTGGGATTACAGGTGTGAGCCACCGCGCCTGGCCTGAACTTTTGTTTCCTTTGAGACAGTGACTCTGTCACTCAGGCTGGAGTGTAGTGGCGCGACCTTGGCTCACTGCAACTTCTTCCTCCTGGGTTCAAGTGATTCTGCTGCCTCAGTCCCTGCAGGAGAATCAACCCCCCCGAGTAGCTGCGATCACAGGCACGTGCCTGGTTGCTGTTTGTTTTGAGTTGAAGTTCAGCACATGTAGAACATGCACACAGTCCAGGTGTACAAGTCATCGCAAAGCACACGCGTGGGGAGCCGCCACCCAGGAGAAGCAGAGCATGGCCAGCCCTCTCGAAGCACCCGCTCCTGCTCCTACCAACTCCTCGCTCCCCTTCTTCCAAGGCTTCCACTGGCCTAACTTCCTCCTTTTCTTTTAAGACAGGGTCTTGCTCTGTCACCCCAGGTGGAATGCAGTGGTGCAGTCATAACCCATTGCTGCCTTGATTTCCCAGGCTCAAGCAATCCTCCCACCGCAGCCTCTCAAGTAGCTGAAATGACAGGCACACACCACCATGCCTAGCTAATTTTTTTTTTAAGTTTTTAGTAGAGATGAGGTCTTGTTTTGTTGCCCTGCTGGTCTGAAACTCCTAGACTCAAGCCATCCTCCTGCCTTGGCCTCCCAAAGTGCTGGGATAACAGGCCTGGCCCACTGTCCTGACTTCCAACACCCCGGGACCCTTTTGCCTGGTTTGAACTTAATATAATTGCAGCTGTACCCCAGAATCATCACGGGCCACCCGAGTCCTCGTCAGTCCATACTGTCACATGCTACAGACCATCTCATGGCTGGGACAGTCACAGTTTATTCTCCCAGGCCCTTGGGACTGAAAGAACCCAAAATTTGGTTCTCCATAGCACGCAGAAATACAGCCACCGTGCTGAAGTGCTCGGCCTTCACACGTGATTCTGCAGGAGGGGAGTTTTCTGTCCTGCTTCCTTGGACACAACAAGAGTCAGGGAGCAGTCATCTTGACCTGTGATGAGGGGGTGACCGGCCATCCCTGGGCAGGGGACGGGGAAGAAGGGTGGGGGCTGGCTGTGGGGGCCCCCGCGCCTAGATGTGATGTTGAAATTTTGTGTTGCTTTAACCGCCTTTACTTTCTGAGCTAGGGGCTGTCTCCATAGCAAAAGTGTAACTTTGTTGTAGATGGGCGTAAGCCTCACCCTGGAGAGCGCTAGTAAGTACAGACCAGGTGAACCAGACCCCACCCTGGACCCCACCCTGTCATGCCCATCTCCCCAACCCCACAGTTCCCTCCGTGGCAGGGGACAGGGAGGGTATGAGGCAAGCTTGGGCCCAGCACAGGTCCTGGGGTGGGGGACCAGGCTGGTAAAAAAAAAATCAGTCCCCTCTGGATTGGGGGTCCTCACGTGGGACCTACGGGGAGCTGGGAGCTTCCTGAGCTTGAGTACAAATGACTAGTTTCCCAGGGGTGGGCCCATTCCCATCAGCCCTCAAAGGAGATCCTGTCACCCCAAGATTTTAAGAGCCTCAGCTGTAGATTAGAAGACTTGGGACATCTCCCAGAGAGCGAGGGCTCGTCACAGACTGAGGGGTCAGAAACAAACTGGGGAGAGGCCTCTGCCCACAGTGGTGGGAGCAGCTGAGTTGACCTAAGCGTGACGTTCCCCAGCCAGCTAGACTCGGGCAGTCACCCATGTCTGGCCTGCGGAGGCTTCACAACACTCCCCAGGTGGCACTGAGTATCAGACCTGGGAAGGGACAGCTCCATGCCACATAAGTTTTACTCACACAGCCCTCTTGGTGCCAGTGGTGGTGCTGCAGGAGGAAGAGAGATCCCCCCTAGAGACCCTAGATCACTGAAGGGAAAACAGCAAAGCTCACATCAAGGTGCTGGCTGAGAGCTGGGCCTCCAGGGTGGGGGGGTGCTTCAGCGAATCGCCACAGCGGGAACCAGTTGCCCAGTTTCTCAAAGCATTGGCTTCCAGCTGCTGAGGTCCTGGGGGTACTGAGGCGGGGCTTGTTTCCTAACAAAACATTTTTTGTAAGTGCATTCACCAATAAGAAGACCCACCTATTCTGGTGGAGAGAATTGGAAAAGGTTATAAAATCTGGCCAAAGCCTGGCTGTTCCCCAGTGAGGGCTCTGCTCTGCCAGCACCCCCGTCCCACCCTCACCCTGACAAACATAGCCGCTCCTGTCCCTGGAGAGGACAGCTTTGGCCAAGTTATAAAATATCTCTGAGCCTCAGTCTTCCCATCTTGGAAATGGGGGCAGTTGTTCCAATGCCCAGAGATAATGAATGTGAAGCCCTCCCCTGTCCCATACTGTGTAGTACCAAAGGCAATTGCTCTGTGGCCCTGGCTGTGAGAATGGCCATTTTTCAGTCAGACCTAGGGAACCAGACCCTGAGAATGTGACTTGACCTAGTTTCCTCCCACCCCCTCCCAACAACTCTGAGCCTGCTGTGGAGCAGAGATAAGCTCATAGGCAACAAAGAGCGCTTTGACATGGAAGAAGTTCTGGGCCACTGGCTTGCGGGCGGTGGGGCCTGACCAACGTCCCAAGTCCCAGAGCTGATGACGTGGGTCCCCAAGGGGGTTGCTGGCTGTTCTCTTGCTGCCGCTCTGTTAACTCATAACTGTTCTCCTCATGAGAGGCTACTGGCAGAGGCCAGGCAGGAGTTTCTGAAGCCAAGGCTCATTGCTTTTATTTTATTTTAATTTATTTATTGAGGTGAAGTGTTGCTTTCTTGCCCAGGCTGGAGGCAGTGGCGTGCTCACTGTATCCTCTGCCTCCCGGGTTCAAGCAATTCTCCCACCTCAGCCTCTGGAGTAGCTGGGATTACAGGTGTGTGCCACCATGCCCAGCTAATTTTTAGAGACATGGTTTCGCCATGTTGGCCAGGCTGGTCTCGAACTCCCGACCTCAAGTGATCCACCCGCCTCGGCCTCCCAAAGTACTGGGATTACAGGCGCGAACCACAGCGCCCAGCCAGGCTCATCACTTTTAGCACCTATTGCCTTGAAGCCAGTCCCTAATGGGACATTAGGCCAGGGGCCCTTCAACCATGGTCTGGGACATGGGCGCTCACTCAGCAGTATGGCAGGCATCACCCGGAGAATGGGCTGGTCTCAGGAGGTTGTTCATGCCCCACTGGCAGTGCACTGTGCGACCACAGTGTAGACAAGAGGCTCAACCGCAATTGGTCTGAGATCTTGGGGTCCCCCACCCTGTCTCCAGCAGCCTGTCCCTGTAGCTGTTTGCCCACTGGCACCCCACCCTGAGGAGGCATGGACACCTGGCCCGCCCTGCCCTGGAATTACAAAAGCCTCAGACTGTGGCTGAGTGCCCCGCCTCCTTGGGAGAACCCTCCCAGGCAGCCTGAGTGTTGGAGTGGGGAGCTGGGTGTTCTGGCCCCACCTGTCCGCCTCTCACTGGGTCCTCTCCTTCCAGGTGCGGCTTCAGGTCCAGAGTGTGGACAAGCCTCAGTACCGCGGGACCTTGCACTGCTTCAAGTCCATTATCAAGCAAGAGAGCGTGAGTAGCCTGGGCTGCTGGGGCTCGGGAGGCTCAGGATGGGGAGCCAGCCTCGGGCTGCCACTGCCCCAGACCAGAGAGCTGGGAAGGAAGATGTCAGGACGGCCGCGAGGCCAGTCAGGACTTAGGTTCTCGCAAAATTCTGCTTGGTCCTCATGAACCCGTGGGGTGGGCTGGGGCTGCCATGCCCCCACCCTTCCGCGTGCAGGGCCCGGGTGATGCGCACAGCTGGCCCTGAGGGCGTCTCTGTCCCCGCAGGTGCTGGGCCTGTACAAGGGCCTGGGCTCGCCGCTCATGGGGCTCACCTTCATCAACGCGCTGGTGTTCGGGGTGCAGGGCAACACCCTCCGGGCCCTGGGCCACGACTCGCCGCTGAACCAGTTCCTGGCGGGCGCCGCAGCGGGCGCCATTCAGTGCGTCATCTGCTGCCCCATGGAGCTGGCCAAGACGCGGCTGCAGCTGCAGGACACGGGCCCGGGGCGCGCCTACAAGGGCTCGCTGGACTGCCTGGCGCAGATCTACGGAAACGAGGGGCTGCGCGGCGTCAACCGGGGCATGGTGTCCACGCTGCTGCGCGAGACGCCCAGCTTCGGCGTCTACTTCCTCACCTACGACGTGCTCACGCGGGCACTGGGCTGCGAGCCGGGCGACCGCCTGCTGGTGCCCAAGCTGCTGCTGGCGGGCGGCACGTCGGGCATCGTGTCCTGGCTCTCCACCTACCCCTTGGACGTGGTCAAATCGCGGCTGCAGGCGGACGGGCTGCGGGGCGCCCCGCGCTACCGCGGCATCCTGGACTGCATGCGCCAGAGCTACCGCGCCGAGGGCTGGCGCGTCTTCACGCGGGGACTGGCGTCCACGCTGCTGCGCGCCTTCCCCGTCAACGCCGCCACTTTCGCCACCGTCACTGTGGTGCTCACCTATGCGCGTGGCGAGGAGGCCAGGCCCGAGGGCGAGGCTGTGCCCGCTGCCCCTGCGGGACCCGCCCTGGCGCAGCCCTCCAGCCTGTGAGGCTCGCCCCCTGCCTCCTTCCCCGGGGCCCTTCTCGGAAACTCCAGACGTAGATTGGCCCCTGAGCCGACCGCCCTGCTCCTCCTGGGATGCTGTGGGCTGTGGACTGTCAGACCAGAGTTAAATGTTGCTTATCAGCTGGGTGACTTTGGCCGAGAACTTCACTCCGCTGGCCTCAGTGTTCTCGCCTATGAAATAGGGACCCTCATATCCACATTGTAGAGTCACCAAGGTCAGAGATTATTCCGCGCAGCAGCCGGCACCGGGCCTGGCTGAGGCCATGCTGTGCCCCGCACCACTACCATGGAATCCCAGGCAGACACTCCAGCTCCTTCCCGGGTCCCGGCCATGCCATTGTGCTTCTGCGCTACAGGCTGGCGCCTGGGGAGGTCTCTGATGGCCCACCAATGGGCGGCCCAGGGACCGGATAACTCCACATATCCTCCACCCAGCAGGCTTGTTGGCCACCCCTCTGGTCTTTAAAGGTTAGGGATAGAGGACACCTTAGTGTGCCTCCGGGTGCCGAAGAACTGGATCCTCTGCGTACCCCAGCTTCTCCACATGACACCGCTAGGGGTACCCCGGCTGCTGCCACTCCAGAGGGTGAACTGGGGACCCTCTGCCCTCCAGGAAGCCATGGCATCTGCTGGAGGCACCATATAAGCCCACAGGACTAGGGTGGGGAGCAGACAGGCCAGTGGGTGGAGGTCTTGACAGTTCAAGTGTGATGCAGCTGTGGCAAGGAGAAATCCTTCCAGCTTTCCAGCCTCGGGCTGCCCATCCATAAAATGAGGACATGGCCAGCTGATGGACACCTGAGTCTCTGGCCCACCCACCACTGCCAGCCAGGATCCCCCGAAGTGTGCAGAAGGCTCAGCAGAGAGCAGTAGGAGACGTCCCTCACTAGGGCTGGAACACCTCTGGCCACAGCCGAAGGTCAGTTTCTCTGCCCCCAGCACATGGTGCCTCCAAGGCATTCTCAGTGCCAGGGCTCTGTCCCTGTGAAGGTGCAGGGCCTGCTGGTGGGGTGGCTAGTTGGGGTCTGGGGCAGAAGAGGGCCGTTCTGGGCATCCTGGGGAATGTGCTTAATGAGGACAACACTGGGCTTTGCACAGCCTGGCATCACTCTACAGAAACCGTCACGGGAATAAAGTGTTCTTTGTTTTGTAAGTGGTGCGGCTGCCTTTGCGTGTGGTGGAGGAAAGGGCTTCATTCAACATCCTCGCCCTGGAGTCGAAGGGGCTGGCTCAGGGCTCTGTGTGCCCTCCGATCCTGACAACGGCCTTGGCCATGTGACCTGGGTGGTTATGGATAAATCTGAGAGCCTCAGTTTCCTCATCTGCAAGTTGAGCTAATGAAGGCGTGAGGATTGAAATGTCAAGCTTATGAACACACTGGGTACAGCCTCAGCCATTCAGCAAATGCCTCTCTGCTGTCATCATCCCAGCAATGAGAGGCCTGTGGTGAGGGACACTGGCGGGCGGGGCAGCAGGGGTTGGGGGTGTCTCAAAAACAGCCTCCTGGAGGAGGGGAGGTCTGAGTGGAGCTGAGCATTTCAGCCACTTGGGCAACCTGGGCACAATTGTACCTAACCCAGCCTAGGAAGTCAGAGAGGGCTTCCTGGAAGAGGCCTTCCAGGAGCTTTGCAAAGGTGTAGTTGCGGGGGTCTCACTGCCACCTCACCTGCAGTTCTGTTCAGCCCCCTGGAGTTAGTCCTGGGCACCCTGAGCCTCTGCAGCCACCAGCCCTGGAGCCTTTCCCTCCAACCGCTGAGCCAAGAAGCTCTGCCCACTGACAAGGGAGAGTCAGGAGGGGCCCCAGTTCCCGTGCCCATTTAATCCTAGTGCCAGCTTGTGAAGCTGGGCTTTACAGGGAGGTAGGAGGCCGGGAGGAGGCTGGCTTTGAACGCCGGGGTCTCCTGGTCTCTCACTTCTCTTTACTCTGAAATAAACTGAGGGAAGCTACCAGGAGTGGGGGACACACGGGCCATGGGCTAGGAGAGGGCCTCCTTCCCTGGCTCCTCCATGCCCAGCCTTGGCAGCCCCTTTGCCTCTCCAGGCCTGGGTGGCTGAGTCTCTTGGGGCAGCTTGGGTGGGGCCTGTGGCAGGGTGTCCTAGGCCCCATCACTTTAGATCTCTCCACACATCTGCGCTCTCCGGAAAGCCCCAGCGTGACCCTTGTCAGGAACTGATTAGAGCACAAACGTTTCTCGAGCCCTGCTCACTCTGGGGCTTCTCCATGAACCCTGCAGTTGCCTGCCCTCTGGGGACAGCACACAGACAGGCCAGCCCTTCAGAAGTGAGGGGTGGCGCAGCAAGGAGCACCGTGAAGGGGTGGGGAGCCGCCAGCTCCCTCCTACCTCCCAGTTCAGTGGCCTCACAGGCAGGACCAACACATCTGCCAGGAGTGCTGTTGTTGGTTTTTTGTTTTTTTTTTTTTTTTTTTAAATAAAGATGGGGTTTCACCATGTTGGTCAGGCTGGTCTTGAACTCCCAACCTCAGGTGATCCGCCTGCCTTGGCCTCCAAAGTGCTTGGATCACAGGCGTGAGCCACCACGCCCGGCCTGTTTCTTTTTTTAGAGACAGGGTTTCACCATGTTGGCCAGGCTGGTCTCGAACTCCTGACCTCAAGTGATCCCCCCGCCTTGGCCTCCCACTTATTTATTTAGAATAAGTGATATATGAAGGTGATACAAACTAAAAATACACCCAAAACCCAGGGTTGTGCAGTGAAGAGGAAAACCTTCCACCTCCCCCAGGGTCAGCCTGTCATCCTGAATAGAGGACAGTCCCCCCGTTCCCAGAGGGCATCCAGCACATCTTGGGCAAGTGCCAGCATGCAGCGGGGGCGGGGGGAATGTCTCCATCCCCCACAAATGAAGTGTGGCCGAGGTCCTGACTGTTCTATTCTTTGCTGTCTTCCCTCAACAGTGATCTTGGAGATTGCATTCGTCTCCTACGGCTGCTGTCACAAAACACCACACGCTGTGGCTACACAACAGCCATGAGTTCTCTGGCAGTTCTGAGGGCCACACTCCAGCTGCAGGCAGGGTTGATTCCTTATCGGAACTCTGAGGGACGTTCCCTGCTCCTTCGAAGCTTCTAGGGGTGGCTGGGAATCCTTGGTGTCCCTGGGCTTATGAGCGCATCCGTCCCGTCGCTGCCTCCGTCTCTTGCCGCCTTCTCCTGGCTGTGTCTCTGTGTGTGCTCTTTTTATAACGACACCAGTCATGTGGGATTAAGGGACCCCCTATGCCAGTATGACCTCATCTTAACTAAAATAATCTGCAGAGACCAGTTTCCAAATCAGGCCAAATTCAGTTGCCTGGGGTTAGGACTTCAACATGTCTTTCTGGGGCCACAATCCAACCCTCAACAGGGATCTCTATTGGTGTGTTTGAACTGTCCTCATTCCTGCGGGTGGCTGCATGGCATTCCATTGGATAAACTTTGCTTGATGGCCCGGTGTGGTGGCTCACACCTGTATTTCCAGCACTTTGGGAGGCCGAGGCAGGTGGATCACCTGAGGTCAGGAGTTTGAGACCAGCCTGACCAACACAGTGAAACCCCGTCTTTACTAAAAATACAAAAATTAACCGGGCATGGTGGCATGTGCCTGTAATCCCAGCTACTCAGGAGGCTGAGGCACAAGAATTGCTTGAACTGGTGAGGCGGAGGTTGCAGTGAGCCGAGACTGTGCCACTGCACTCCAGCCTGGGTGACAGAGCGAGTCTCCATCTCAAAAACAAAAACAAAAAAAAATATTTGCTTGATTTGCTTTTCTAGTCAGGTTTGGGACAGTAACTGGGGGACGAATCTGAGCAGAGTCTTAAAGGAGCAGCAGCAGTGGACGGAGCCAGAGGGACAGGGTGTGGTACCTGGAAGGGCAGATGGGGAGGGGTCGAGGCAGGGCCTACAGGACCATAGGGCCAGACATTCAAGAGGGCCACGAGGCTGGGTCACATGGCAGCGCCTTGGGGACAGTGGCACCCTAAGTGGCAACTTCAGACCCTTCCTGCTCTTGAAATCTCAATTTGTTCTGGGCTTCAGGATGTCCAAGTCAAAACACCTTGCCAGACTTTTTTTTTTTTTTGAGAGTTTCACTCGTCGCCCAGGCTAGAGTGCAATGGCACGAGCTTGGCTCACTGCAACCTATGCCTCCCAGGTTCAAGCGCTTCTCTTGCCTCAGCCTCCTGAGTTGCTGGGATTATAGGCACAGCCACCAAGCCTGGCTAATTTTTTGTATTTTTAGGAGAGACGGGATTTCACCATGTTAGCCATGCTAATCTCAAACTCCTGACCTCAGGTGATCTGCTGGCCTTGGCCTCCCAAAGTGCTGGGATTACCGGTGTGAGCCACCGCGCCCATCCCCTTGCTTGCCACTGGAGTTGGCCATATGTCTGACAGCTTCTGAGAAAGCTGTGAAACAGGTAAAACACACCTGTGGCACACCCCTTGACCTCTGACCCTGCTCCCTCTGTACCCACTGAAAAAGGGATAGGATGCCTGGAGGTGCAGTGGGAGAGACCACAGCCTTGAGCTAGAGCCAGCTGGTCACATTCCTCTCATTCAGCACACTGATCCTGTCACTTGCAGCCAAATGCACCACTAGCCGCTGTGCAGAGCTGAGTTTATTTCGTTGCATCAGCAGCTGTAAACAGGTTTTACCCAGGGGAGTGACAGGATCCAATTTGTGCTTTGAAGACCCCACAGGAGGTTAGGAGGGAAAAAGAGGCAGGCCAGGGTAGCGGGGCAGAGGCCATTAGGGTGTCTGAGCCAAAGGACATCTTCAGGCCAGGAATGGGGGGCTCCAGTGGCAGGTGCGTGAGGCCACTCAGGAATAAAAGACAGAGGCGCTCTTGGAGGCGTCAGGGGTGCTGCTAAGGGAGGCGACACTATGTGGCAGGAGCTAGTCTGTGAACTCCGCAGCGATCTGGAGTTTGTGGCTCCTTCCTTGACCCTTAAAGGGAAAGGGCTATGAAACGGCACGGCCAAGGCATATTTGTCTCAGGGATGGGAAAGCCGGAGGCTTAAAGTGTGGAAGGGCAGAGAGAAGGGGACAGGCCCCGTGACAGTTGCAGCCCGGGTCCTTGGTGCAGAGTTTAGGCAAAGCAGCGGCAGTTTGCAGAGTCCAAATCTTAGAAACTTTTTCCAATCTCAGCGCCCACACCGGGTTCACACACAGACTTCCCCTTCCCTTTTCTTTTGATTCCTTTGGACATCAGGTGCACGGAATGAGCGGAGCATGAGCCCCCTTGTGGCGCTCTTGTCACCAGCCTGGGCCTTCAGTGAGTCGTTTCTCATCAAAAGCACCTGTGAGGCCACACGGACCCTGCTGGGCAGGTTCTTGTGACTGTAGGGATGCCTCAGCCCATTGCACACCTGCCCCTTCATCCTCCCAACAGCCCTGCAAGGTCGGTGCTGGCACCCCCATTTTGCAGTGCAGAGTAGCACTTGCGGAGGGCCCTTGTGCAAGGTCACACGGCTAGTTGGTACTGGAGCGCTGGGGCCCATCAGCCGGTCCTTCGCCTTTCAGCAGGACCAGCCTGGGCCAGCAACCCTGGGCACCACAGGGGGCCGGGCCAGGATCCATGCCACGTGCTCCCAGGTCTCAGCTTCCTTGCTGCTTGTTGCTCACACACCGCTGGCCTCCTGGTACCCGCCGACCCACGAAGAAGCAGATGCAATACTGAATTCAGATGCCACTTCCCAGGGAACTGGGAAAGGCAGGGTGAGGCCAGTGTCCACCTTGACCAGTGCACAGCAGAGACAGGGCAGAGGCTGCAGGGGAATGGGCCTGTGCCCCACGGCTCCTTACTCAGGCTTGCTCCCCACTGACTTGACCTCCCCCAGGCTCGGGGGGAATGCTAAGCCCCCCAGCGCCCCTCTGCAAGCAATTCCCTTCCCAGCCACGCTCTGCCAGGCCAGCTGACACCACATCAGCTGTAATGATGCCCCACAAAGTTTGGGTGAAAGAATAAGTTCAAATCTGGCTAGAATGTCCTTGGAGATGCTGAGGACACAGGACAAAGAGCAGACACAGGGGAACATGGTGAGCTCTGTTTGATGTCGTGACAGGACTGGCCAGTTTCTTGTTGATCTCCCCAACCTCTACCTTCCCTCCATGAGGGCCAGGGGTGTGAAGTCAGCATGCTTGAGTGAATGAGTGA